CTCTCGACCTCCACCGGCCCGGCGCCCTATAAAGATTTCGCCAGCCGCGCCGCACCGCACCGGCCCCATGGAGCAGCACGAAGCGGGAGCGAGCGCCCGGTAAGGACGGCCGCCGGGCCGCCCCCCCCCCCGCGCGCCGCGGAGCGCCCGCGTGCCCCGCCGGAGCGCCCATATGCCGCCGCCACCCCGGCTCGCTCGGCCCGGGTGTGGCGCCCGGCTGGCGCTCCTCCGGGGCTTCCCGGGAGAGCTCTGCGAGGGCGGCGCCTCTGCTCCCCGCGCTCTCGGGCCTCGGATCCGGCCGCGGCCGCCCTTCCTGCGCGGCTAGGCCCCGCGCGTCGGGAGGAAGCGCCCGGCCCGTGGCGCGGCGCCCGGCCCATCGGAAGCGCGGGGCCTGCCGCGCCCACGCGCCGCGGGGAAGTCGCTCCGCCGCGTGGCCGGGCGCGGGACGGCCCGGCCGGCCCGTGGCGCGACGCGACGCCTGGAGGAGGCCGGCCGCCGCCGCCGCCGAGCCCTTGGCAAGGCAAGGCGCTTCTCCTTCCGGAGGCTCCTCCGGCGCCGCCGGTCCCGCCCCGCGGGGGTCGGGGGGCCCCTCGGCGCGGAAGCGGCTGCGCCCGGACCAGCTACATCCCGGGCTCCGCTTGCCTTACAGGTGCGGCTGTGAATGAGGAGCGGCGGCTGCGCGGAGAAAGCGATGAACGTGGAAAGTTTCGCCGCAGCCGCGCTGGACTTCCCCGGCTGGAGGGAGCCGCGGCCCTCGGCCAAGTCAGCCGGTGGGCCCGAGGTTCCCGATGAGAGCTTGGCTTGTGAGAGCGGCTACCTGAGCCTGAAGGGCACAGACCCGGAGGAGGGTGATGCTTCCGGCATGGCGGACCCCGTGTCCTGCAGCACCGGGGGGTGCGACTACACTGAGATGCGGATGAAGGTGGACTTCTTCCGCAAGCTGGGCTACTCAACCCAAGAGGTCTTGGTCGTTCTGCAGAAGCATGGCCCACACGCTGACACCAACACAGTCCTTGGGGAGTTGGTCACGCACGGCATGGTTGCAGGGGACAGAAACCCCGCTGCTGCACCCCTGGAAGCCCCTGAGATGCCACTGGTTCCGCGGGGAGGGTCGGCCAGCAACAGCCCGGCACATGCCGCACCTTCCGAGGGGAGAGAGGGAGAGAACTTGCGGCCAGTTGTGATAGATGGGAGCAACGTGGCCATGAGGTAAGGCTCTGTCTGGCGCTCCCCACTGCAGGGGGGCCAGGGTGCTTGGGCACCTCTGCCCAGCTTGTGGGTTCCCGTGGGCAGCTGGACCACGCTGAGTATGGGGTGCTGGACAAGCTGGGTCGTTCTTATATTCCCAGGGCTTCACATGTTTCAACAGCGGGGACAGCTTGAATGGCCAGTGTTCTAATCCGGATGTGAAAACTCTTAGGAATAGCCCAGTTCCCTTTGCCTTGAACTGTCTGCACTTCTTACAAGAGCCTGCAAAGCTGCCTTGCAGTGTGTCCACCCAGGGCAAGGATTAACAGGAGCTTGTCAAAGTTGCAGGCAGAATTCTTTGTTAACCCTACTGGGAGGTGCCAGCAATGGACCCTGGACCTTCTGGGCACGGGCGGGTTCTTCCTGCTGCTGAGTTACAGTCCTTCCCTCGGCCGCGATCTCACGACCGGCGCAGTGGGTGTTCGTGGAGCACCAGTTGACAGCTTTCCAGAAAGTAATTTTGGTTTCTTGCTGTCTAGCTCCCAACTCTACCCTGGGAAAGTAGGCTGCTGCCTGCTCTTGCTCAGTTGCGCAACTTTCTGTAGGCGGGATGGAGCATGCCTCACAGGCTTCTCTGAGAGTGGCTGTTTGGTTGCTGGGAACGAGCTGTTCGAGCTGCTGCTGTGCCACCCTCTGCTAGGGACCAGGAGGCATCCGAGTGGTTGAGGGAGATGGCCAGGACCCCCTTGCTGGATTCCACAGGGATGGAGAGAATGGTGCTGCCAGTCTGCCCCGCTGTGCTCAGCTCTCTGCAAGCTAGAAGGGGAAACACAGGCAAACAGGCAAGCTCGCTCCTGGGCTGGCAGACAAGTGCTAAGAGGCAGGAGCTCCAAAGAAGTCAGCTGATGTGTGCCTTACGATTCCAGGGAGGGAAGGGCAGTCCTCTGCGCCAGCTGCACACGCTTCTGCCGGGGGCTCAGCCCTGCTCTGCACTCTTGTGCACATTCCACACTTTGGGGCAATTGCCACAGGGGTGGGGCACAGGCTTCTGGCCCCCGGCAGCTGGAGAGGCAGTCCAAGAGCTTCCTGCTGGATGGCAAGGGAGCAGTGGGAGCCCCAGATGATCTCCAGACCAGTTGGGGGGAGCACTGCCACTCGGCCGAAGCCACCCTTCCGCTTGGTGGCTCTTGGGGAAGGTGCGTGGCTGCTGATCTGGCACCCACCCCGGGAGACAGGCCAGCTTGAGGGACCGCTGCTGGGGGACTGCTTTCTCCCGCTGGGCTTGCCCAGTCTGGTGCTGATGTGGTGAGTGGCAGGGACCCTCCTCCCTGCAAAGCCTCTGTGGCCCCAGGCATCCTGCCTGCCGCTGCCAAGGAGGCCCCCTCCCCCAGAGGGTTTCCCCAAAGGTGCCCTTTCCCCTTTGGCAGCATAGCCGGCAAGGCTGGGGTGGACCGGCAGTAGCCAGCGCCTTTTCTCCACACGCGTGTTCCTGACCATACCTGTGCTTTCAAGACGGAGCAAGCAGACTTAGAAAGTATAGTTCAGAGGTCTCTATCTGCCCATCCATTTATCAGGCTCATGGAACAAGCATTTGGGAAGGTGGGGCGGTGGGTGACAATAAGTTCCTGCACAAGCCTGAGCGAAGCCACGTGGTTTCTGTGCAGTCTGGCTCTCTTTGGCCTTGCAGCTATTTTTTTAAAGCAGGAGGGGAATTTTGCTAGGCAGCTTCCTGCATGATTGGAGTGACAGTGTTCCTGATTGATTCACCCTCCCTTGGATTATGCAGCAGCTATATGCAAATCATGGTGGGGGGAGAGAAAAATTGGCCCAACTTCCTTCTAAGGGGAATTCTCACCGTTGCCACATCAGATGAGCCTCAGATGAGTTGGCTCAGCGAGCTGCAGGAGGGTGGAACACGGCATGCAAATTTGCTCCAGCCTGCGTGACGTAGCAGAAACGCTGGTAGAGTTAACTCTGCTGGGAGAAAGTTTTGGTTTCAGTGTGGGGATTTGCTTCATGAAATGATTTTTACCCTTCCAGCTGTGTTGTGAGTTAATTGTGGCTCAGCAGTAGCTGACTTTCATGAAGATTTCATTTTAAAGTGTTTGGGCAGGTGCAGAGCTCACAGAAGCGTAGCTGTGTCTTCATATTTGGAAAAAAGAATAAAGTCTACTTTTACTGGAAGCACTCTCAAACAATATGATAGTTATAGAATAGTTTTCCTTCAAGATAACCTAGCTTCTCTTTAGAAACTGGACAAGCACCGTCCAGTTAAGGGCCATGTATGCTTAAAATGAAATCTTGCCTCTCAAGCTGCCCCTGTACAAGGGAGACCTGCACAGTTTTCTTTTCTGAGAGTGCACCTTGCCCTCAGCACAGCAACTCTTCTCTGTGTTGTAGGCCTGTCCGGACACTTTCAGGCAGGTGATCTGATCTTCCACCACCCTGGGAGGCAGGCTGGGATTCTTCCCGGCCCGGTGGGGTGTGTGGCTGGAGGGGGGCAGTGTGTGAGCCTGCATGCCATGCAGGACCCCTGGCTTTCCAGTCACTGCCAGGTCTTGCCGGCTGTGGTGGGCGATGGCCGCCTTCCAGAAGGGGAGGCCACCCTGCGTGGGTGGCGAGTGCAGAGCTGCGCTGGAGGGTGCTCTGGTGTGGGGCATTGCACTGCCTGAAGTCTCCCCCACACAGCATGTGAGAGGAGCCAGGCTGTGCGAGGGACAGGGCTCTCCACAGGCTGTGCGCGGCCCAGGCAAGCGTGGCCTCGCGGCAGGGGAGGAATCGCAGTAGGGCACATGGTCGTGGCAAACGCACGCCACTTCCCAGAGAGGTGGGAGAAGGCTGCTGTGCCGGCCCTGGCCAGGGGAGGGATCGGGCGGTGAAACTCCAGCAGTCCTTCCGTGGGCACATGTGGGAAAAGACCCCCGAGAAGCGTATGTGTCGTGCCTGGCATCACCCACCAGGGCTCTCTGTGTGAGGCTCATCTTGGGCCGAGGCGGCTGGCCAGGCTTGTCCCCACACCAGCCTGGCCATGCTGAGGGCAGGATGCGCTCGGGGCACTCACAGGGCAGGCTGTTCCTCCGCTGCAGCTCTGTGTGCCCCGGCTGGGCTGGGCTGGGCTGGGCTGGGCTGAGCTGGTCAAGTTACGTAAAGGTATCCTCTCACTTTTAAGGTGCAGCCAGAAATTCCCACTGACTCATCCTGCCTGAGACAGGTGATGCAGTCACAGAGGAGGTGTTGCCAGACACGAGCACCAAGCCTGCTTCCTGGGCCTCAAGGGCCATGGCTGTGCTTCGAAAGGGTGCTGGTCGGGTTGCAGCTGGGGAGAAAAGAGCCAGCCCTCTCCGCCCCTATCCATGTGCCACAGCCCTCAACCCCAGATAGAGTCCTTCCAGCATCAGTCTTGCACCTGAGCTGAGGAAACGCTTCCCGCTGATGGGCTGGGGATGCCATTCTGTCGGGAGAAAGGGGACAGATCCCTGGGGGCAGAAGAGGGGGGAGCTGTGCTTCCAGCTTTCCTTCCCTAGCCATGCTCATGCGGGATCGATCCTGCTCCCTCCTGCACATTGCCCAGGCTCCCCAGTGCTGCTGTCTCCACACCCCGCGTGGTGGTAGAGAGAAGTGGCGCAGCACTCTGGCGGCTGCTCACCAAGCCCCCCCCCGGGGTCCGCACATGGAAAGAATCACGAGTGCTCAGCCCCCAGTGCAGGCTTGCACAAGCCAGGGAGCCACTGTGGCGTAACAGTGGCTTATTTAAATCAGCTGTGGCTAGGTGTTGGGTGCCTTTAAGCCTAGTCACATCCTGCTGTGTCTGCCAGACCTGGGGGGCATGTCTTGCTTGGGGGGACAGCAGCCCTCCAAAGACCCATGGGCATTTCTCCCTGTGAGGCAACCCCCGAAGGCTCAGCGCACACAACGGAAGGTGCATCTTTCCAGTCGCCCACCGCACCTCTGTGAGTCAGACCACCTGGCCAGCTACTTGTGCCATCCCAGCCCACCCTGTGATCCCAAACCTGCCTGTTGTTCCTCCTCCCAGCCTCACTTGCCACTTCTGCTGGCTCAGCTCCTTCCTCTGGGCTCAGGTTCTCTGCCTCCTCAGCTCCCTCTCCGTGATCTCTCTTGTGGTTTGTATGTGTGGGATGCAAAAAATGTATTCAGGGCTGTTTAGATGAGGAAAAGACTAGCTAGATTTGCCTTCTGGGAAATTAAATTAAATTCTCACGATTCATTTTTAAATGTGCATGTATTTGCAGTTTAGCTGCTAATTTATGAGGATTGGTATTTTTATTCGTGGGTCTGTGCCCCTTTTTTTAAGCACATGGGCATTTGTTTTCCTTTTTTTAATTTATGTCTGGTCGCCTTTGGTGAAGCCATTTCAGTCTGGCAATTGGTGGGTCTTCGTGTCCAGATCTCTCCTGAGATAAACTGGGAGGATGGCCATAAGAATGCAAATTAAGCCAGAGCATGGCTTTCCTCCTGGCCATGTCCTGATCGCAGGTGCGCTATTCACCCTGGCCTGGATCACTTCATGGCAGTAGCAAAGGCCCCGAAGAGCAAAGATGCCACCGATGAAATGGCAAGAAAAGTTTGGTTCTGCCAGTGCTGGAAGGTTACCCAAATGCGTGTCTTCCCTGGCTACCTACCAGCGAGCTCTTGTGACAGCTCAAGATATACTGCTTGAGGTGTGGAAGTTCTGTGAGGGCAAGAGGAGATTTCTGGAGGCAGAGAAGGCTTAGAGGCACCCTCCTCGTCGCTCCTTCCAGAATGTGCGCCTTCCAGGCACTCAGACCTGCTTTCCTCCGTTTAAGTGGCATGCGAAGGCTGGGCTCAGTAGTAACACGCCTGGCTGTGAGCAGGATTGCTCTGCACTAGGAGAGGCGGATTCCTCACCCCCAGTGGGCATGGACACAGAGCCCCAGCTGCCAAGGGGGTGTGTCGAAGGGGAGAGCATGCCCTCTGTGGCCCCTCCCTTGCTTCACTGCACCTGTCTGCCCGTCACACATTGACTCTGGGCTGCTTCCCAGGTAGCTAATCTTGAGTAGCCAGAGGACTGGGGGGGTGGGCTTACCAGAGAGCATCCAGGCGCAGGTGTTGGGCCCCAGTTCCTGGCATGGGTGGACAGCAGGAGTGCCGGCATTCACTGCTCCAGACTTTCAGACCCTTCCACGGATGTCTGCTGGTTCTTCTCCTCCTTCAAAATTAAGCTCGGTCTGTTTGTTTGTTTGTTTGTATACAATATTTCTAGAGTGCCCTATAAGAACGATCTTTGAGTAGCACACAAGATAGAAAGCAAAGCTCTTGGGCAGCAGGTTCCTGAGCATTCTGAGGGCAGCAGGACCCCCGTGTGGGTGGGGGGTGGCTTGCGTCCTAACACACAAACACGCCCCAAGGATGAGACATCTCTGGTCTTAGGCACTGGAAACACTCACGGGCTGTTCTGTTTCAGGGTGCCAAACCGCTTATGAAATCTGGCTGCCAGCATCTGTGGGAGTCCCTTGTTCCTTCCAACTCCCAAAACTCTGGCTGGGCTGGCCAAGGAAGGGCTCTGGTTTGCATGGAAAGCCCAGGTGGGCTCGAAAGGAGATTGGCCAGAGACCCTTCCCCACGGAGCCAGTCTGAAAAGGCTGTGCCAGGCCAGCAAGCGCAAAAAACGGATTCTCCCACAAGGAAGGTCTTTAGCTGGTTGCCCACACAATTGCAACAGGCCTGTGCCCCACATTAAGGCCAGGGACTCTGGCTCCAAACACGTAGACGTGGCTAGGCCTGGGTCTGGTTTAATTGCAATGTAACACCTGGAATCATGGATTAGTAGAGTTGGAAGGGGCCATGAAGGCCATCTGTTCCAACGCCCTGCTGTTGCAGGACACCACGCCACACCATCCCACTCAGAGGGCTGCCCAGTTTCTCCTTGAATGTCTCCAGTGTGGGAGATCCAACGACCTCTCCAGGCAGCTGGTCCCACTGTCTTATTGCTTGGGCAGTGAGGAAGTTTTCCTGATGTCCAGCCTGAATCTGGGTTGCTGCAAATTGAATTATTATTCCGTGTCCTGAACTCTGGCATCAGGAAGAAGTTACCTTTACCTTCCTGTTTGGGACAACCTTTGAGGTACTTATAGAGGGATATCATGTCCCCCCTTAATCTTCTCTGCTCAAGGCTGAACATGCCCAGTTCTCTCAGTCCCTCCTCACAGGTGTTTCCAAGCCCTGGATCATTTTTGTTGCCCTCCGCTGGACCCTTTCTAATTTACCAGCATCTTCTTTAAATCTTGGTGCCCAGAACTGGACACAGTATTCCAAGTGAGGTCTGACTAGTGAGGGGTATAGGGGAACTACTACTTCTCATAATTTGGAAGTAATACTTCTGTTAATGCATTCCAAAAGAGCATTTGCCGTTTTTGTAGCTGCATTGCATTGTTGGCTCATATTTAGCCTGTTGTCCACAATTACTCCCAGATCTTTTTTTTTTCCAGTTCCATTGAGCCATGTATTCCACATCTTGTATCGATGCCTTTGGTTTCTTTTTTCTAGGTGCAGGACTTCGCACTTGAACCTCATTCACTTGCTTTCAGCCCAGTGTTCAAGTTTAGCAAGATTGCCCTGGATCTTCCTTCTGTCTTCTAGGGTGTTTGCTGTTACATTCAATCTTGTATCATCTGCAAATGTGATTATGTGAGCTTTGAGGATTCAAGTATCGCATGGTCACTTTCCCCCAGAGTTCCCATGCTAGTTATTTTGTCCACTAGGCCATCCCTGTTGTTGTTGTTGTTAGTCGAGAAGTCGAGTCCGACCCATCGCAACCTCATGGACAACATTCCTCCAGGCCTTCCTGTCCTCCGCCATCCCCCTGAGTCCACTCAAGCTCACGCCAATTGCTTCAGTGACTCCATCCAGCCGCCTCATCCTCTGCCGTCCCCTCCTTCTTTTGCCATCTATTCTTCCCAGCATTAGGCTCTTCTCCAGGGAGTCCTTCCTTCTCATTAGGTGGCCAAAGTATTTGAGTTTCATCTCCAGGATCTGGACTTCTAAAGGGCAGTCAGGGTTGATCTCCTCTAGGACTGACCGGTTTGATCGCCCTGCTGTCCAAGGGACTCGCAGGAGTCTCCACCAGCACCACAATTCAAAGGCCTCAGTTCTTCAGCGCTCAGCCTTCCTTATGGTCCAGCTTTCACAGCCATGCATTGCAACTGGGAAAACCATAGCCTTGACCATACGCACTTTTGTTGGCAGGGTGATGTCTCTGCTTTTTAGTATGCTGTCTAGATTTGCCATAGCTTTTCTCCCCAGGAGCAAGCATCTTTTAATTTCTTGGCTGTAGTCCTCATCTGCGGTGATCTTGGAGCCCAGGAAAATAAAATCTGTCACTACCTCCATTTCTTCCCCATCTATTTGCCAGGAAGTGAGAGGACTGGATGCCATGGTCTTAGTTTTCTTAATGTTGTGTTTCAAGCCAACTTTTGCACTCTCCTCCTTCACCTGCATCAAGAGGCTCTTTAGTTCCTCTTCACTTTCTGCCATGAGAGTGGTATCATCTGCATATCTGAGGTTGATATTTCTCCCAGCAATCTTAATTCCAACTGGTGATTCATCTAGGCCCGCCTTTCTCATGATGTGCTCTGCATATAAGTTAAATAGGCAGGGCGACAGTTATACAGCCTTGCCGAACTCCTTCTCAATTTTGAACCAATCAGTGGTTCTGTGCCCAGTTCTCACTGTTGCTTCTTGACCCGCATATAGGTTTCTCAAGAGAGAAATAAGATGGTCAGGTACTCCCATCTCTTTAAGAACTTGCCATAATTTGTTGTGATCCACACAATCAAAGGATTTAGCATAGTCAATGAAGCAGAAGGAGATGTTTTTCTGGAAACCCATAGCTTTCTCCATGATACAGCATATGTTGGCAATTTGATCTCTAGTTTCTCTCCCTCTTTACTGCTGGAGCCTAGCTTGTAGGATTCTGAGCATAACTTTGCTAGCATGAGAAATGAGAGCAATGGTGTGGTAGTTTGAACATTCTTTGGGATTGCCCTTCTCTGGGATCGAAATGTAAACTGACCTTTTCAATCCTGTGGCCACTGTTGAGTTTTCCAAGTTTGCTGGCATATTGAGTGTAGCACCTTTACTGCATCGTCTTTTAGGATTTTGAATAGCTCAGCTGGAATACTGTCACCTCCACTAGCCTTGTTGTTGCTCAGACTTCCTAAGGCCCATTTGACTTCCCATTCCAGGATGTCTGACTCGAGGTCAGTGACCACCCCATCGTGGTGATCAGGGGCATTAAGCTCTTTCTTGTATAGTTCCTCTGTGTAATCTTGCCACCTCTTCTTAATCTCTTCTGCCTCTGTTAGGTCCCTGCCATTTTGGTCCTTTATCATGCCCATCTTTGCATGAAAGGTTCCCTTCATATCTCCAATTTTCTTGCAGAGATCTCTGGTCTTCCCTATTCTATTGTTTTCTTCTATGTCTTTGCACTGTTCATTTAAGAAGGCATTCTTATCTCTTCTAGCTATTCTCTGGAATTCTGCATTCAATTGGGTGTATCTTTCCTTTTCTCCCTTGCCTTTCCCTTCCCTATTTGTTAAGCTTCCTCAGACAACCATTTTGCTTTCTTGCATTTCTTTTTCTTTGGGATGGTTTTAGTTGCTACTATCCCTGTTAGTTAGCATTAAATCGAGGGCAGCTGATCCTCTCGTACCTTCCTCTACTTTCTGCTGGAGAAAGTTGCCAGCAACGCATGTCAGGAATCTCTTGGAGGGGCCGTGCTTGGCAGAATCTGTCTCCCAGCACGTATCAGGGGAATTGAAGTCCCCCATGAGGACTCCATCGTTCTTCTTGGAAATGCCGGCAAGTTCCTTTTCGAAGGTTGCATCCTTGTCCTCTTTTTGACCAGGTGGATGGTAATATAGGCCAATCACTATGCTTTTCTTATTCTTTGCTGCTTTAAATTTAGCCAGAAGCTCTTAATAGGGCTACTAAGTTCCTCGTCTTGCATTCCTGGGCAGGTCTATGTGTCTCTTACATGCAGTGCGACTCCACCTCCCCTTTCGTCCTTCCTGTTTTTCTTGAGCAGGTTGTATCCGTCAGTTGTAGAGTTCCAGTCGTGTGAGTCAGCCCACCAAGTTTCCGTTATTCCTATGAGACCATAATTGCCCTCATGTACTATGAGCTCAGGTTGGAGTTGTTTGCTTCCCATATTCTGAGCATTGGCGTAGAGACATCGGAGTTCGTTCTCATTGTGCCCTGCTTTTCTCGCTACGTTTTTTGGGAGACTGGTGCTGGGCCCCGCTTGAGGTCTTTTCAACAGAGAAAATGTACAAGCTCCTCCTCATTGGATTCCCTTGAAGGAGTCTGCCATCCTTTCCTCTCTTCTGCATAGCCCCACATATTCTTTCCCCCTCGTCTCTTTATTTTGTCCTGTTCAGGCAGCATTTCCCTTGTTGCGCCCCACATAACTCCTGTAAGCCAAGGGATATCTCCTCCCTCAGGGCCACCCCTGCCTCCAGACTGGGACTAAGAAGGGCACCACTCACATTCCACATATCTTGCGCCCATTCTCCTGCTTCGTGGCATGCACCCCTCTTGCAGCACCTGCCCCACGGGGCCTGCAGCGGGTTGAGTCTGGATCCCAAGTCAGGAGCTGGGGCTGACCCTCGCTGCACAGGTTTCTCTGCCTGACATGCCAGGAAGTGCCCCTGTGCAGCGAAGCCTTTTAACGGGAGGCACTGCTGTGGCTGCTTCCGGGTTATCCACCATCAAAAACAGGCACAAAGGCTGGGCAGCGGCTCTGTGCTTGGCTGGCTGGAAATGGGGAAGGGGCCGGGCAGCATGGCGGGTGAGGAGAGCTGTGAGAGGCAGGCCCCCAGCTACCCGGGCAGTCGGTTTGGGAGGGGCGTTGGCAGCATGGGCAAAACTGGGTTCTCGGGCTGAAGCGGGGCTGGGGAGTAGGAGCGAGAGTGCAGACCACTTCTTGGCTGGGGGGGGGGCACGAGTGGCTCCAGCAGCTGCAGAACAGAGGTGCTGAGCGGGAGGGCTACTGAGCAAAGCCCTCTTCTCAGGTGGGCCAAGAGGGCATCGCTCCACCCATGGACAATGCGCATCGTAGAACCTAGAACCACAGCAGGGCTTGGTTGCCCTTGAATGTGCATGACAAACCTGGGCAGGTGTTGGCAGGTAGAAGAGGGGGGAGTGGAAAACCTTCCGTCAGGAGCTGGCAAAGGTGAGGCAGGCCCAGAGCATCAGCTGACTGCTGGAATGGGGCTGCTGACATGGCAAGAGTGCAAAGGATCATGGGACAGGAACTTTTCCCCAAATGCCCTTGGCATGCATGTGGGAGGAGAGCAGGTGCAGCAAGCTGGAAATAAGCCGCGACAAGTTTCAAAGACGCCAGTCATCTGTCCCCGCCACCGTGGGAAGCACCCCGCCATGGCTTGCTTGCACGGTGGCTTAGCGCGACCCCTGAAACTGCCCTGTGAGCCCACGTGGGCCGCCGGGGCCCCTTCTGGCACGCCCCGGCCTTTCACCACGGTGGCTTGGCAAAAAGCCTTTTCCCCCAGCTGGGTCTTCAGCTCTTGCTAAGGACAGTGGCAGGGGCTCTGCTTCTGGCCTTCTGCCTGGAAACTGCATCACTAGTGCTGGGGTGTGGCCGTGAGCACTTCACTGGGGCCTGGGTTGTAAGCAGCTCTGGGACCCTTTCTGATGCAGGATGACAGATGACCCTGCAAAACGTATGAATATGTACTTTGTAAGGAATCCGATGTTCAGCCACCCACCACCTATTGATCTGGGGCTTCTCTCTCCTCTTCCCATGTGCGCAAGCGCTTGTCACTGCAACCTGCAGGCCACCGCCAAGGCGCCACGGCGCATATCCTCTCTCAGCAGCAGGACAATTGATTGTGGGTGTTTGTTCATTACTCCCAAATGATGTACTTGATCCGTGCATTTACGTCTGCAAATAATTACTCACCTAAATCAATACTATTACTTTATTACTCGTTGGGCAGCTTGACCTCAATTCTCCTGTGTGAAATTTCTTTCCAAGTGACTGTTTGCCTTTCTGCTTTCAGTGGCAGCTAAAGTGTCTGTGTGTGTGGGGGGGTGAGGTACAGCGGGGGTTTGGGTTGCATTCTGGCACTTGGCGTGGCTTTCGCAGAGTTTCCAAAGTGCGAGCTGGAGTCCCCAAGGCACAAGCAGGACCTGCCCTCTCGTTCAAGGTGCTGCCCGTATCTCCCGGCTTCTGCAGGCCACCGGCTGTCCCTGCCCTCCCACTGCTCCTGGCTCCCCCTAGTGGCCACCACACCTCCCCAGGGCCCCGTGCTTTTGGGGCCCCACGGAGTGAGCCGTGGCTGGGAGGCAGCGGCAGGGAGGGAGGCACGGCACCGGCTGCTTGTCCGCCATGCGGGCTCAGAGGACCTGCCGGGGCCGGGACGTGGGCGGCCTCAGCTCCTGCACCACTGGCAGAACCTTTCCCACAATCACTTCTCCTGGCCCTGAAGGTGGGGTGGGGTGGGGGGGGGGGCGTGCAGATGGCTTTTGAGCCAAAAGGACGGCTCCAGCTGAAGGAATGGGAGCATCTGGCAGCCCTGGAGAGCCCAGGACTTGCTGGAAGAACGCTGTGCAAGGCCAGGTCAGGCCCCATCAGCGATGCCACCCAAGCACATGGGGGAACCTGCATGTGGCCAGGCCCCAGAAATCTCCTGCCCTGGAGGCAAGCTCCTCATCTGCAGCCGCCAGATGAGTGCCCGTCCAGCTGCCCCCGCAGTGGCCCAGCAGTGGGGCCGGCAGAGGCTTCCTCCTCCCAGCACGACTG